AAACGGACCGGTTTTTAGGGTCAAAAAAGCAATATTTTGATCCCCCCACAAATCGCGCGATTTTTGAGATATCGATATTTTTGAAACGGAAAAAACACCAAATTAGTGTGTTATATCGTAATCGTAATTCAACTAGTTCATTAGGTAGAACCGGTTGAGTTTAGTTCAGAAGTGGTTGGAACTATTTGGGTACCAAAAACCGAATTTTCGTGATTTTTGAATGAACGAAACACTATAAAAACAGAAAATTTTTCGAAATTTTTGACTTAGGACAGCAAAAATTGTTGTTTGGACAATGTTCACTAGTGAATCGACAGTTTTTAAAACCGTTTGCCGATAAACTTCCGGGTTACAGATAAATCGAACTTAACGTGTTTGATATAGTGGATTCATCAATCCGGAGGGGTCCAAATAGCAATGTTTTTGGCAAATTTTTTCAGCTGAAATGTTTTAGATCGGGTTTGTGCATTGAACTCGAAAAGTATAGGCCTTTTGAGCTCGGTTTAATAATTTTTAGGTCGAAGAGAACAGTATTGGGAAAAAAGCTGGGAATTGGGAAAAAAACGCAAAACCTATAAGAGAGAATTTTTTATTGATTCCACAAAAAAGACGTTTTGCTTAATAACTTTGGGGACAAATTCAGTTGATCTTGGTCCCACTAGATCAAAAATTAGGTGAGCTTACTCATGGAAAAATCAATTATTCAAAAAAGTAAGCGTGAAAAATTTTGTGAGATTGTTTTTAGCAAATTCACTAATTCGGGAAGATAGTCCCTTCACGTTTTATAATTTTTTTTGGAATGACCTTACACACTTACCAAAAGGTAGTAGATGTTGAATAAGGCAATTTTACGCTGTTCGTGACAAAAAGGGAAGGCTAAGGGGACCAGAAAACCGTAGTCAAGTCGAAACTACGCTAGTGATAGGACCCTTCACCTTTAGGGTGAATTGTCAAATAAGAGGCTTAACTTCAATCCGGAAGGGTCTAAGGAAAGATGATACACCCTTCCTAGTTAGTTCAAACAGCATAATAGCATCGGAGATTGTATCCGGAAGGGTATCGGGTGAAAACTTAGAAAGTCTCCGAGAAGCTATTTTTGCCAATCTGGAGGGGTTCCAATTTTGCCAATCCGGAGGGGTCCTATTTTTGCCAATCTGGAGGGGTCCCAGTTTTACCAATCCAGGGGGGTCCGTAAACTTGGATAAACTCGAGACTAGGTCCGTAAATATATCCGTAAACTCGGATATTCGCGAGACTAGGTCTAAAATTAAAAAAAGGTTGTAACTCTTTAGTGTGAATTGAAATCCGAATCGTTTTTGAGAAAAGTGATGACCCTGCGGATTTTAGTATGTCTAGCTCGGGCAGTCTGAAGGCAGATAGGTAACACAGGACTCGGTGGGTGCAATAGACGCCCACTTGAGAAATCAACTGCCATCAAGTTTTGTCTGTTTGGTGCAGCACCAAGCAGGGAAAGCTTTTTCTTTAGAAACAAGTTCGACTATTGTTTTGCGACTGACTAAAAGTACAAAACACATACGTTTTTCATAAAAAAATCTTTTTTTTTTTAATTTTTGGTTTTAAATCAATAATATTTGGGCTCGATTGGGTAGTGAGAACACTATCTCTTAAATAGAATGATTTCATCATGCTGTGCTAGCTTCACATTTTACAACTAATAATCGATCATTGTGAATAAATTGTGTACACGCTGTACTGTGATAGCATACAAGAATTCGTGGTCACCATTTAATAGAAACGTTTGAAAATTATTGTGTTGCGTTATTATTATCAGCAGTCAGATAAAAGGACACTAGCAATCGAATTGAATTTTTAGGCAGTTAGAAGTGATAAACTAGAATTGAGTCTAGACAAGTCAAGGATATCTAAACTATGTGATAGTTCAAGGACATTTATACCGGAGAAACAGAGAAAAGCAATGAACGACCCTTTTGTGGAAAGGATCACACGAATGCGGACAGACAAAGGGGAGACGGTTTCAGGCAGAATGGCTGAGAACAGGAGTCAAAAGTCCTCAGAAGAGCGATAAGCAAAGCTAGAAGTGGAGGTCCATCCGGACCAGGCCATGGATGAGAACCAAGAGAGACATGGACCGGAGCGGAGAGGAAACACAAGGCTGGTCAGTGAATCTACTCCGGTAGAACAAGGACAAGATTTTGCACTTTTCCACCGGGAAACTGGACCGAGAAGAGATGTCGGAACTGTCCGACATCTCTACTGAAATTGTGGCAACTAGAAGATCTCCCACAGACAACACCATGATGGCAGGCGTGACGGAGAAACATGCAACGTCCTCGTCGTTTTCAGAAAGAGCGAAGAACACTTTCGAAAACATTTTTCCATTTACCATGGGAGCGGGTACAGGCGATGAAGAAGAATCCCAGGAAGAAGAAGAGGACAATGACGAGCAAGTTGACTTTAGATCTCGAGTCAGCCTCAATAGCTCGGTTCAGGACAATGAAGCATTTACCGACAGAGGGACTGGCACCATGGACCAATTTGGTGTAGTGAGGATAATAAGCAAAACCACAAACACATCAGGCCAGTCAGGAGATTTTGTGAGCATGACGAATTCCGAAGTCCGAACTGGGGAGAATAGAAACACAGGGCTAAGCAACGCGCCGGCGGATCCAGAGGTGGATAATGAAAAGGTGTCGACGCAGAGAATCAAAGCCCAAATCTCGACAAGCAACAAGCTACCTGGGATTGACAGGGTGACACCGCCACTTGTGGCCCCACTGATGGATAACGGCTTATCAATTGAAGAAGCCTTGACCAACATAGAGGAGAACAGATTGAACAGATGTCCATAAGAAATAGTGAACTAGAAAGAGCAGTCCACGTCGAGAGAGAAAGTCTGCGTGAAGACATAAATCGCAACAGACAAGAAGTCGTTAGAAGCGAAAAACCTTGAAGGAAAGAACGGATGAACACTTGGCAACGAACTGGTCACGAATGACAAGGGAAGCGGAGCAAAGAGAGTTACGGTTAAAAGACGACAGGGAGAAGTTGAGAAATCAACAAGAGCAGACTTTTGGGACTCTTGACGCAAAGAAAGATGCGATGATGGAGAAGTGAAATCAGGCTGTCATGGATAGGTTGGACGGGCTACTAGGCAACATGAGTGGATCGAAAGATGGGGAACCGAGCTCGGGAGGACCCAGAAAGGAGCCGCGGGTGAACTTCAAGGACCAAAAGAATAGGAGAAAGACATATGATCCACTAGAGGTAGTTCATCAGGCTATGCCACAGGGGATAATAGAACATGGGGCCCAAACATCAGAGGAAGTTCAATTGGCAGCAGATAGACCTCAAAAGAACGACCGACCCAAGGCACACATGTGACTGGGAGAAGTGATTCCATGAACAGGAGTCATGCGAGCCCAGGGAGAAGTCACCCGAGCCAAGGAAGAAACAATCTCAGTGATTCGGACAGAAGGAAAGTTCCATAAACAGAACCGTTATGAGGGGGCCATGATACTCAGGCGGGGCATTCAAGAGATGGCCTTTGAACCTCTGAACTGGTCTTCGGAGACATTCCTTACGAGTTTATTCAGAACCAATGAACGTAATGAAAAGTCCAGAAGTGTCTTTAAGAAACCAAGATGCCATAAAGACGAATCTGATGGCTGTATTGATACCTGGATAGAGGTGATAAAACTGCATTTTGAGGAAGAAGACTTGTCAGAAAGGCAAGAATGCAGTGCACTTACCAGTGACTTAGAAGGGTTAGCCCTAAACTGCCTGATGGCCAAAAAGCAATACCAGCGGGACACGGCTGAGAAAATCTTTGAAATCTTGTAAAATCGTTTTGGATCAGGGGTGCTGGGACTCCAAGCAATGATGCGTTTCGAGAAACGGAGGCAACGAGAATATTAGACGATAGACAAGTTTCTAGACAATTTGGATATGCTGAGAAGGCGTAGCCAACCAGATGAGTCAAACAGAAGGATGAACCTGGCAGTAGCCTCAAAAATCATCGATGGTGTGAAGAATGATTAGCGAAACATTACACACCACTCTCGAGCAATGCGCCAACACCAGAGGAGTTGAGACTCAAGTCAAAAGAATATCTTTTATTGAAAGCTCATTCGAGATCTGGATATTACAAGAACAATTTTGGCAATTTTAAAGACGGACCAGCAAACCAAGGGAACAACTGGTACAAACCAAGGGACGATAGGCGCTCTTTTGCCAATTGCAGTTCGTCGGACCATCATGTGTCAGCCTGCCTAACTAATAAACAGGTCATGAAAGCAATAGGCTTTAGCCTCGAGGAAGAAGATGCGTCAGAAGTCGACCATGAAGATTTCATGAGAGGAGTAATTGCAAAATTTGACCCGAGGTGCTTCTTTTGCAACTTGGAAGGTCAATTTAAATCGGATTGTCCGCACTTCTGGAATGCTGTAGCAGACATCAAGCATTCAAGGCATGAGGAAGCTTTATC